AAGACGAGCTACGCAAAACTGAGGCAGCATTTCATGGGCACATGCTGAGTTCAAGAGGATTGAAACCGGATACAGAAGAAACCAGGGCCATTAACGAGATGGAACATTGGTATAATACGGATAAAAATCCAAAGCTTGAGACAAGTCCGGTGGGATGGTTTGTGGCAGTAACGTTAGCTCAAAAAAAGTTGCACAAGTGAAAAACGCGCCTGTGAACTCATCATATTATCCATGTGAACACAAAGATATATCCGTTTACTTCGATTTCGTGGGGATTGGTGAGCACAATTTTTGTCTGCGTTTTGTCGTCACTCAATGAATAAAAATCAGATTAAGTAATGTTAATAATGTAAAGCATCGTAGAGTCATTTTTAGAAGGTGTAGCTTGAGCGCAGCAATGACAAAAGTCGAACGAGCCTTCCACAGTTGACAAACTCGAAAGGAAAAATAATTCCGGCGGCACTGATGCGAATGGTCCGCTACCTGAGACGATTGGCTGATGTGACTATACTGATTCGAAAATTACGCATAAAGATGAAACTTGGCACGGGGGCGAGTAAGAGAAAGCCTTTTGGAATATCAAGCAGCCTACTTTGATCCGTCTCTTCCACTGGAGCAGTGTTACTCAAAGTATGGTCCGTGGGATGCTTTCAGAGGGTCTTCGGGACTTCCCAAAATGTAATAAGTCCGTTAAAACGTTTTGGAGACGATCATTTATTTTACATTTCAATGACAAATCTGCAGTTGAAACTTGTTAAATCATATGTGACAGTCTACATTAGCCTAGTAATTGGCCAGGTTAAAGCAAACTCCTTCCAAGAAGAAAACTCGGTTTGACAGAAACTTAAAATGTCAGTGAACTAACTGTCAAATGTCAGAAAGGTTGTGTGATAATCTCACTGTGATGTGATTGGTAAAACTGGGTGGGTCATTCTCCGGCCACGCAATCTCACATAACTCGGAATTTGTCTCCCTGGAGAGGCAAAAATAAATCTTGAGATATGGGCCCTTTTTGCGGTCATTTCGAAAGTCGCTATCCTTCGAAATCGAGCAATGGGGAACAGAGGCCCAATGGTACGATCGCACCCAGGGAAGGCCAGAAGGAAAGTGTAGAGATTTCGCTGTTTCACGAGTGTGCACATTCGACTTTGCAAGTTGTAGTGAAGGTATCTGCGACGTTTACTTTATTCTATACTTCCTTCGGAGTTCGACTTAGCAAAGTAACAAATTTGAGGTTTGTTCTGCAATTCTTGCGTTTAATTATGTATTTCATTTTAGCATTTGTGTATATAAAGATAAGCCGCTAGCTGAAGACAAGAACATTGATAAGTATACCATAGAGAAAACTGAGCATCTAATTCTGAGGTAGTAGTAGTAGTAGTTATGTCGCATTCTTCCCCTCATGAAGAGTTTCACAAAGCGCCGCTGTCTGATTTCTGGTGGAAAACGAAGGAATTGTACCCTGGTATAGCGAAGACAGTTGTCGCCGTGCTGCTCCGTGTGAAAGTGCATTTGCGCATTACGCATGCAAAAACAGAGTACCGCAATAAACTTGAGGCTCAACCAGATTTGAGGTTGCGGGCTTCCTCAATAACATCGAAGGTCAAAAAAGTCAATGCTGTATGTCAGAAACAATTTCACCCGACACATTGAAAAGTAATGCACCTTGTCGTTTGTATATACTCAACAGCTTAATTTTTCACTAAAATTAATGAACACCCGTGTTAATGAGCGTCTTCAGAACCCTCCACCTCCTTCTCAGTTTATTAAAGTCTAATCCTGTGGTTAACAATATCCAGGGGTCCGTTGTGAGCCTCCACTAAAAAGAGGTCCATGGACCAAAACGTCTGAGTACCGCTGCAATAGAGATTCAGTGTGACAGCAGTCAATATGGCACCGGAGCCGTGCTCATGCAAAGCGGTAAGCCTATTGATTTTCGCAGTCGCACTCACGGAGGCCGAGCATCGTTACGCACAAATTGAAAATGAGATGTTGGCGCCGCTTTGCGCCGTAGAACGCTTCAATGGCTATATGTTCGACCGCAAAACAACTGTCTATATTGATAGCAAGCCAATGGTATCCACTGCTAGCAAACCGCCATACACGGTTCCACGTCGTCTGCAGCGGATGCTTATTCGTCTCCAGAAGTATGGTCTACATAAGCACTATCAATGCACAGATTTAGCCTTAGTCCTGGCAACTGAAGCAACTATTTGGTGCAACGTAATCTTTGTACCGCACTTGTAAGTGAGGACTAATTAGTAGGCCAGCAGTACCTAGTGGAAAGTTGTCATACCAGTGTTTCCCAACTATTTGAGACTGTTACCTCTATAGTGGGTTCAATATAAACAACTACCCCAAAACAATCCTTATTTGTATAACAAAGTAACTGTTAGTTATCGCACGCTTTGCTTTCAATTATGCAAAATAAACTCTTGCGACGAATTTCAATCATTCTAATAAAGAAAACATTTTGGACAATTTTTGTATTAAATCAAGCGACGATGTAAGTTACTGATGCTTGCTGCAGTTTCAGCTAATGCGGATCGAAAGTCGTGCTCCGAGTTACACCGGTACCTTGAATTCTTTTGATTCATGTCCACACAAAGCGTAATAGGTTCAGAAGTTAGAGAAGTCGGCGACATCAACCTCACATGCAAGAATAGGTTATAGGGTTGCGAACGAGTGCCTGACTCAAACGCACAGCGATCCATGAGCAAGCCGATGGGCGCTCCATCCAGTAGCGTATCGTTGCAAGCTCACATTCATATGTTAGGTAATAACACTTAATACCTGAAATGGTTTGGTTCATTAACAGGTCACTGGGGAGTTGTCACTAATACCTTCTCATTAGTTATTAGTAAGTATGTAAATAAGTTGATATAGATTATTATGTCGATAATTCTGTTTCCTGGCTGAGTGATGATTCAATCCATGTGGTTATCGTCAAGCGCCGGAGCAACATCACTCTCGCCCTGAAGGGTAGTGTACAAAGCAGCGGTACGTTCGACCCTACTGTACGGTTGTGAAACCTGGTCTCTTAGATCAGCGGACATAAAGAGGCTAGTGATGTTCCATCACCGGTGCCTTCGCAATTTAGCTGACATCTGGTGGCAACACCACGTGAGCAACGAGCGTGTTAGACACCTTCTTTACGACACAGGAAAAAGAAATGAACAGCTCGGCACCGTTATTTCACGCACCAGGCTCCGATGGTTCGGCCAGCCCACCGACTCCCGAGACGTGCGTTGTTTGCGCGCCGGGAAGAAGAGGAGGGGTGACCAAGCGGTGACTTGGTCGAGAGGAATGAAGACCCTCACTTCTGAGCTGGCCTCGGTTGGAGCGTTTCGGCTCCCTAGTTGGGGTTCGAAAGACAATGAACACGTTTGGCTGGATACACTTGCTGATATGGCTAGGAGCCGACCTCAGTGGTGTTCGTGCTGGGAGTTTCTTTGTCCCACCCCGTCCCTCTTGGCCTCCCCCTCCAACGACGATCTCACTATTTAGCCTTATATAATTTTGCATAGTAACTTTTTTGATGCACAGTAGCCGGCTGGTAGTTTATCGGAACGATGCCCATCCGTTACCGGTAGCTCAGCCGGCTTGCACCAGTTGCATTAATTATCTACTTTTTCCTTCTGCTATGTATTGCGGCACATTAGCTGAGGTGTTTTCCACCTCTAGCTAACGTGTATAATGATGATGGGTATCGTCAAATCTCATTTTACCCCTATGGAGGTAAGTACCTCCAGAGTAGAAACCAGTTTTATAGCAATAAAATGTTGCCACACAAACATGTGAACAGTTTCCGGGGAGTGAAGCGTGGCGTTCCTCCGCTCCCCTCAGCAGACGGAGATGAGCAAAGGGCTGCGGATGCAACCAACGTTTCATGGCTACAATCTGCTCCAATACTCCGACGTGCGACCAGTATGTGCCACATACCTGCCTCATTCCACCAGACGCCATGATTTAACCAGACCCCATTTAGTTTAGCACCTGTTTTGAGGAAGCTGCTATCGTTGCACACCCATAGTTCCCCCGGAGCTGAAAACATTCGCCCGGAAGCCATTCTGGTCGCATTTGCAAGGCTAGCCGACGTATTATCCAGTCTCTTTCAAAGATGCTTGGGTGAACAGAAGGTCTCTACTATGCGGTGCAGGGCATCACTACTCCAATTTTGAAGGGTGATGGCCGCTCGGAACCCACCAACTATCGAAAAGTGATTTTTCCCTGTGTTCTCAGAGTCGATCATTGCTGAGACAATTAGATTCAACATCCTGGCACTTGATCAACACCGCTTCCTTCAACATCGGTCATGTGCTAAAAACCTAATGATCGCGCATGACAGAGAGTGAAATAGTGGACAGTTGCCCGGAACCCATGGCAAGTATCTAGACTACACAAAATTCTTCGACCACTTAGATCATCGCAATTCTTTCCAAAAGCTGGAAACCCATGGTATTGGGAACCCAGTCCTTAGACAAATCCAAAACTTCAGTCTTCCACAGCGACTCCAGGAGCGATTTCGAGGCTCATTCCCTGATTCTTTTGAAGTAGAAGAAGGTATTGAATAAAGATCAGTGCGGGGATCGCGTTTATTTCTGATTATCTTTAAGGATCTCGTGCGTGTCATGGAGTCGAATTTCTTGATTTTCCCCGGATATATGAAGATATGGTAGGCGATCGATTATCAGAAAAATCACGAGCTGCTGCAACGAGACATGGAATGTCTATGAATGGTCAAGGACATGTAATGTAATCTCAACAGTCTAGTAACTAGACATAGAGCCAAGAAAGCCATGGAAATCAGTGTATAAGAGACAGTCATTGCGTCATAATCGTCGTGGCATGCTAGCTGAAGGTGGGCAACACACTTCAGTTAATATGCCGCAAGAAAATGGAATACTTTGACAAAAATACAGAACAAAACATTTTTAGTTTGTTTGTCACACGCCGATTTTTCTCTTTTTTTGTCATTTTCAATGTTTGTAGAATTAAACATGCGAATCAACACAACACTGTACACAATTCTTCCATTGATTCCGGTTGCGGGCCATGTCTTCAAGTGTCCTAAGCCATTGGCACTCGCCATCTTTGGGTCCCCATCCTGGAAGACGTACCGGTCCAACAGCGGCTAGACACGACGTCAGCGATTTCATGTGCTGCCGCCAAGTGGAAGGCTGACCACAACGCGGTCGCTTCCAGCCAGGTCCTTGACGAGCGAATAGAGCGCGACGCGGTAGACGCTCAGGTGCCATGCGTAGGACATGACCGAGCCATCTTAACTGGCGCAACAAAACCAGTTTGTTGAAGGAAATACTTGCATTCCCCAAGACGCGACGTCGAACGTCATTACTGGTAACTCGATGTTGCCACCGAACACGAGCGATCCTCCTTAAGCAACCGTTATCGAACGCAGAAAGACGACGCATGTCTTCCACGCGAATCGGCCAGGACTCGCTCCCATACAACAATACTGAGCGAACGGACGCGCTGTAAACTCGGCCCTTTAGTGAGAATGAGACGTCGCGACGACGCCACAAGTGCCTCAGATTGACAAATGCTGATCGAGCTTTAAGGACATAATTAACGCGGATAAATGTAAAATATTCCATGTACACCACAAGCCCAATGACGCATAAAAAATGGGAGAACACAACTTGCAGACCGCGGCACAGGGTCGCGACTTTAGCACTGTTCGAAATAAGCTGTGAAAGTGTAAAAAACCGGAAACGGACATACGGGTCTCTTACGGAGGGCATTCGAGTGGTTCGATCTTCCACTCTTCCTGTAAATGCTTAATGCACTGTAAAGTCCCATGTGCAGTACGCTACGCAGGGTCCCGTGACCCTGACTAAAATGCGACGTTGCCACACTGGGGATCCCACAACGAAGCGCAACCAAAAACTTGTTCCATCCGCCGTACACATCAAGACTGGAAGTCCTAAGAATATACAACGGATGTTATCGTTTTCTACGTGATGATATCATTCTGACCTGTCAGAAAGAAGGGTAAGTTTCGTGAAATGCGTCGACATCCAACGCGGGAGCTTTATCGCATCAAGAATTCACGACAGGCGGCGAAGGTGAAGGAGATGGGACGATATGTAAATAATTCTATGATTTCTTGAGGGCGGTTTATGAGCCGACCTTACAACCGATGAGGCTGGTGGACAATGCTTCGAGCATGGGCTGTACAGTCTGCAGACACCATGTAGATGTAGTACAGGTAATTCGACAATCTGCTGAACAGTCGTTCAGACTGACTGGAACACGCAACAACAACAACAACAACAACAACAACAACAACCTGTGAAGGATGGTCTTGCCGACACCCGCGGACCGCATGAAACGCAGAAATCTCCCATCCAGCTGCGAAATGGGAAGTGCGATGATGCCCGTGGAATCCGACCAGAAGTGTTGAAGAACGTCGAACGCACAGTGTACCACTTGGTGGAATGTGTCTAAATAAAAGAACTGGTGCCTGTTGAACGGAAAAAATTTCTTTCGTGCTACTACTGCACAAAGACAGAGGAACCAAGAATTGTGACAACAATTATCATGGTATAAGCTTGTTAAGATGCATCGGGAAGGTGAGTGCTCGGACCTTGCTTAGTCACCTCGTACTTAAACCAAACGTGGATGAAGGGCAGTGGGGCTTCCGTTCGGGCCGCAGTAAGATAGATTGGTGTTCTCAGCCAGTCAAAAGCACAAGTGCAGCAAACCAAACTAACAATTGTACTCGCTGTCCGTTGACCTCACGAAGACAATCGACACAATGAAGCGCGAGGCATTGTGAGTGGTGGTAGGTAGGTTCGGATGCCAATGTAAGTAGGTCCGGCCATTCAAATGCTTCTGCAGTGGCATGCGGTCCAAGATGCAACCGTGTGGATAAACTTCAAATGAATTGACGTTGTCTCTAGTGTGCCGTTGCCCAAGTGCACCAGAAAGTGCTGTTGCAACAACAAGAAAAACGCCAATCATGCAAGTGACAGGCATCGATGGGACCCAACCCAATAATGCGGAAGATGTGGCGCGGTGCTATATTGTCGCTTACGTTGAATGGTACATGTATTTGTGAGCTTGGGTTCTCAGTCATCAGAGCGTTCTCTAATTTACATCCCAGGTATGGCTGCGTTTAATGCGAATGTCGACAAGGTGCTTAACGGTCGAGTAGCGTCACGGGCTGTGAGAAACTGCTAATCGTGGTCTGGGGAGACAGAGTACACAGTATTCGCGATATTACAACGCTCAAAGTGTGGTTTTATTGCCTGTGAAACGGACTAAGACCCAGCTATCGCTATGTGTACATCCGATAGGCATGTGCCCACCAATTTCACATGAATGACGTGCAGGTTGCAAGGTTGTACGTCGGTTCCGAGTCAATGTTGCCCCCATGCACATGCCTGCAGGGCTGATCCCTTCGGGTTGGTTACACTGGATATGCGATGGACAATGAAGCGCAACGAGCCCGTTGTCCCTCTGCAGGCACAAGCGTCATGTGACTACTCGCAGTCGCAGTGACAGGTAGATTCGAAAACGGATAACACCAATCTTGTGCAGACCAACAGGTCCAGACAATAACGAAAGAGGCCGAACAGAGAACAAAGCTGGAGCTATCCTCACTACAGCGTTGCGGGTGCAATACAGTGACCAAGCAGATAAAAAAAGAAACAACTAGTCCGGATAACTACGCTAGCTCACAGCAGTACATGACGACTGCCCATGTCTTGTGCACAAGAAATACGGCTACACAACCACACAGGAGATGGTATGTTACAGTAAACTACGGTGAAAGCTAATGAGGTAGCCATGGGTAATTGATTGGTCGGAGGCAGGTAAAACGCATCAAAGTGATTGCAAACCCGGTGTGAGAGCTGCTTGAGCGTGTTAGACTTCGCATAATGTCCAAATTGTAATGAATGCGAAAGAGAACATATTAGTGATAAAAACTGTACTTTGTGGAGCCAGTGAAAGCGGAAAAGAAAGCTGATGGTCAGCAATACAAAACTAGACGTGAATAATGTGAACATATAGGTAACGGTTCACGAGAACTCAAGTGGAATACTTCGTGGAGGTTGGTCAGATAACAGCTGTGTTCAATACGGCTGAAAGAAAAGCAAAGAATGTGGCAAAGCATACGTGGCGATAGCATTACCGCAACAACGCGAGCTGGCAACGCGTGAGGCAATGGGAAAGAAAGTGTGAGAACTTGTTCAAGCGGGACAAGTGACAGAACTGATTAGTGGTCCCTGAAATTTCCGGAATCGGCGCGGACAACGCGTGGTAGGGAATTAGAAGCAAAATCTCGGGCCTCTTTAGTGCGGTGTTTAGTGGCATTCACAAAGGTTTCAGTGGCGGAGGGTCTCCTCGATGAATCTGGGTGAGTGCATGGGGAACGCTCTTTGTATAAATTACAAACGTATTCGTAACCAGCGAGGGCTCCTTTCGCGGTGGAACGATAACGATGAGACAAGAAATAGATTAAGGGGGAGCGTATAGTATAGTTTAAGTTCGATTCGATGTTGAGCGCCCGATTGATCACAGTGCTGCCGGGGAGTGTATTCGGAGTATACGCGCAGTACTCAATGACAGTCTGCGAGCGGAGAAGGGAGTTGGGAGGTTAGTAAAACGACAGCATAAAAAATATTTGCATAAATACTCAGTAGGAGAACAATAGTCGGTTCCACTAAGCTGATATGACTGACATTGAAGCAGACATTGTACCAGTTTATTGTTATTGTCTAGTTGAGAAACATTCGAGGTAGGAGGTAGTACGGGGCCGCTAGTTAAATCAAAAAGGAGGGAAAACCCCTATCGGAGAAAAAGTAAGCGGGCAACGCAGTCGCGGAGAAAAGGTCAACAACGGTGCTATGTTTGAGGAGTTCCATGGGGTGACAGCGAAGGATAAAGCATGAATTCATACACTGGTGAATCGGATCCATCACAAATGCACTAGAAGTAGCACATCGTGACGAGACTAGACTTTAAAGTGGTGCGATTGTTTGTGTGCCTCAATGATCATTAAGCTGCGCTCTATAGTGCTTCGTGGTCAGTGGTTATAGGCCTGATAAGCTCAATTTCCTGGCTCTCCAGCTTGAGATTGGAATGAGGGTGGCTCTTTATTCCGCAATACCAGCTCCTTGAGGCCCTTGCCGAAATTCTGCTACCTTGCGGTCACGTTTTGGGACCAAATGCTTTGGTTTGGGCTCTAATCGTCCTTCTGTTTAGGCCGGAACAACTTGACATCATCGGGCCCTCGCAACACATAGATACTTCGAATGATTTCTTGAGACCCTGGCCGTCGCAGAGGATAGTCTAACGCGCCATAACTGTTGCATCAAGTGGGGTTGCCATTTGTTTATTACAGTTATTCATCATTATCATCCCGTTGCAACTTCCCTTTACCCTCCAACTTTTTCACCCCAAATTGTTGTTCATCCCTCAGCTTGTTTCAATAGAGTTGTCTTCTGATTTCCATTCACACACAATCGCAGTGGGTGCCTGAGGCCCAGAGCGTTGTGGACGCTCTGAAAGCCAGCCAATCTGAAGGCACATATCTCGCATGATCAGGCATGATCAGAGTCTGTGCAGGTTCTAGGAAGAGTAACAGAAATGGAAGCATGTCAGCGGAAATTTATGGTCCCATGATCCATTTGAGTCCATCGCTGACGAGCTATCGGAAAACAGTAAGTGGCAGATAGGTGTCCAATGTGCCTGAAGACCATGCTGCTGAAAAAACAGCCGATGTTCGGCGCACAACTGTAACAAACGCTTGCTATTGTAGTGCCACTAGAATTGAGCCTAAATTTAGCATCTCGTTGACCTGAGGAGCCCAGATGACCCTACTTGCGTATTTAGATCCCCAGGAACTAAAGCAATATATGAACTGGTAACCCTGTGAAGTAAAGTGCTGAGTACATGGTACGAAGCGTTCTTAGTAGTCTCAGAGCTATTAGTCAATAGGGGCATAAGAGGCAATAATAGATAGATAGAAATAGCCGAAAAACGCATCCACAGTGGCAACTGCGTTAGCAGAGATGGGTAGATGACTGTGAAAGCTAGAACCACCGACTTAAAATTGCGACATGACATTATCATCGATACTATCAAAAGTAGCAAGTCAGCCAGAGGAACTCAAGTTTCGCTGTTGTATAACGACAACGACGTCAGAAATGAAGAGTAAAAAAGAGGAGTAGTTGCGACATCTGTTGCATCAGAAAGGGCTTTCCTGTCGGGAAGATCCTGTATACAAGGCCAAAGTGAAGGCCGTCCTACTCCACGGGAGTTACACTTGGCCCCTTCGGTCTGAGGACGTAAATCGTCCTCGTTGTTGATCATAGTTGAATGCTGGTATCCGATGGCACTATCGTGTCCGCAACGAGGATGTGTACGGGGCCGCTAGTTCGTGATTAACATGTTACTTCGTAAGGACAAGTAATGATCGCAGTGCTGGCTTCAGCACGTACTGTGTATAACCGCTCACCGCTCAGAGGGTCTTTTCCTGTTCATCGGATGTTGGGTGGCGCGAAACGCATTAAGTGTAACCCTCGACTTGGCAGAAGGAAATGAAGACGTCATGACAAAATTCGGTTCACTTCAGTCGAACAACTTTGAGCCGAGCACCGAAGTGCGCTGGATCCAGCTGCCACGACTCACGTCACAAGAATAACAATAAACAATCAAAGCAAGATAGTGGGGTTGAATGCAGATAGAATGTAAATAGAATGGACACAAGAAGGTGTGTTACCCTAAACAGAATAGAACGAAAATTAACAACCAGATACAAGGAATCGAATGCAAAAAAGCCACTGATTACGTGAGTGCGCCATGTCTGATACGGTCTCCAACCATTGGCATGGACCATCCCGAAGTCCTCGTTCACGAAGACGTTACACACCAGCCTGACCAAGTGTCTCAGTCAATTTCTTCAAGTACCTATGGCCTGAGCATCGCGCGGTTTCGTCCAACTTGCTGCAGCGACGGCGGATAACGCACACCGAGGGAGCCGATCAACGGACATACGGATGACATGACCTAACCAACATAAACGATTAAGATTTAGCAAACACTTATTTGAGGCGCAAGAAGGCTCCCTGCCAAAAAATGCGGACCATAGCATTGCTCACCTAGTGTTCCCAACGTGAGCAATACTTCGCAAGCACCGGTTGTCAAATACTGCTAAGCGTCTCAGGTCATCGCCGCGGACTGGCCAGGTCTCTGATCTATACGGTACCACCAGCTTTGTAGCAACATTATACACCCTACCTCCCACTGACAAGTTGAAATCCCACCGTCAACATAAATGGTTGAGTCTCTGGAAAGTCACACGGGTCTTGATGATACGCGAAGGAACGTCCTCGGAGATATGATCACCAGAGATAACACAACTACAAAGGCAAGTGAACAGATTCAACAGTTCTGGCAGTTGTTCGGTGATAGGTAGAACCGAAGGTGTCAGCCCAGCCCTGTGCAATTTGAAAGTGTACAGCACATGCCGAAGATTGCAACGCTACGCCTAAGCCTATCCAACGGTGTTTGCATAACCGCTGCGTCAGACCCGAAGAACCATGTCGTCCGCATACTCCAGATTTGTAAGCCAGTCACCTGGTAGAAATTCCACTCCGGTAGAGTTTGAAAGAACGGAGCCACTCATGTTCATCACGATGACAAAGTTGAAGAGGAAAGAAGATATGGGACAACTTTGGCGAACCACACTTGTTGTGGAAAACTCAGGAGACAGTTTCCCGTAGACCTTTACACGGCCTCGGGAATCACGGTACAGACTTCAGAATGTAAAGGTGTTTAGTTGGCACACTCCTCATGGATAGCTAGCACCATAAGATGACGCAGTCAGCGGAGTCGAAGGCGGCTTTTAAGTCAAGGAAAACCACCATAGTCGGTCGCCCGTATGTGTCCCTGATCTAAAACCTGGCGAAGAGTAAATATGTGGTCGATGCAACCACGACTAGGGAAGAAATCAGCCTGGCTTGCAGAAATTCGATTCTCACGGAGACAAATAAGTTGCAAAATAATGGCACCCTTTGGGAAATTCAGAGGGAATGGAAACAAGATCAATGCATCCATAGTTCTCACCAACACACGTTAACTCTTCTTGAAGATGGGCATGACAGCTGACAGTCACCAGTGCAAAGGCACTTCTTCAGTGTCCCAAATCGTGTTAAATAGAGAAGTAATAATAGTCAACAAAGAGTCACCTACATCCTTCAAGAAAGATGGGGGAGGACGTCGGATCCAGGAGCATCGTTTCTTTTCAACACGGAAAACGCATGTCGAATCTCTTCCAAAGTGGGAAATGTGACATCAATTTTCCACGTCGGCGCAGGCGACTGGGCAAGCGGCGATGTCACAGCAGGCCTGTTGAACTGCTCTTCAAAATGTTGCACCTAACCGGCTAGTCGACGACATTGGGGATAGATCAGTTGCCCATCTATCTCTGCTATTGTCTCGATAACTGATGGCTTTCTCGAACTTGTGTTCCGGATGAGCTGGAACTGTTCCCAATGGCATCGGCTTTCTCTATCGCACGGGCTCATGTTATCCATCAAGCTTCCCGGTCGATTCGAAGACCGCTTGTCAGACGTCGTTTCAGAGAGTTACGGACACGCTGAAACTCAGTGACCATTGGAACCGGTTTATGCGTTTTGATCAAACTGACTCATACTTCAGATAACCATTCACCGTTATACCGCTTTAAGTCGGGCGCACTGCAATTGTCAAAGGCGTTCTTTATGGCCAAGTTGAGACGATCCCAGTAACCGTTCAGTTCACCAACCTTATACATCAGCGACAATTGGTGGGTCGGTTCGTCATGATGTTGCTGAACGGCAGATTGCGAGCTCAAGTTACAGGTAAGAAGGTTAGATAGGTGCTTCTTTGAAGCTTGGAGAGTGTGCACCCGGCGTGTGCACTAAAGCATGGTCGGAATCCTGGCACGTGCAGGCGGCCGAGTGGTCTGTGCGCCTGGTTTGCAACCGTAAAGTCACTGGTTCGAAGCCGCGTAGGGGTGAACGTCGAAGCCGAATAGTCATCCCACGCGCGACTGGTGGTGATCGCGTAGCAGCGAAGTGCTGTTACGGCATATAGCTGGCGATTTACTTTTAATTACTTTCACTGATGTGTGCCGCCTGTAGCTGATGGCAATACGGTCAATTTGGGTCCAGGTTATTGAGAAATTTGATGGGCGCCAGGTGATGTGGGGTGAACGTTTGTGCTGCAAAGCAGTGCTGCTAATATAAAGGTTGTGGTTAGCAAACGGTTACACAAATCGATCACCATTGTCTGTTCGGCGTGCATCGACTTCGAAACGCCCTCCTAAGTGGTGTTCATAATCCGAAAGACGATCCACTTAGGTATTCTTATCACCAGCAACAATCATGAGGTCAGTATTCTTCGCCATGCGAAGAAGAGATGAGAGCAGTCGATAGAAATCGTCTTTGATACCCTATGAATTGCATTCAGTATGGACATAAGCAGAGGCGAGAAAAAGGCACCTTGTCTTCCGACGGTTCGAAGTCGAACCGCACGTATGCGGCTGTCCACCGGCATCCAGTTGAGCAGATTGTTTTCAGCATT